GGGTCTCCCCTATTCGTCCCTGTCGGTTATCGTTCACTCATCTCGTTCCTCGTTCTCGTTCTCGTTCTCCTCCTTCCCTCCTTCCCCCCTTCGTTTCTTCTCTTCTGTTCTGTTCTCTTCGCTTTTTCGATTTTTTTTCGATTTTCTTCTCCTTTTCCCTTCCTTCCCTCTCCCTTCTCTTCCTCTCATTCCCTCCCTTCTCTTCCTCCTCCTCCCTCTCTCTCTTCCTCTTCCCTTCCCCCTCATTCCCTCCCATCTCTTTTCCTCCTCCTCCTCCTCTCTCTCTTTCTCCCTCTTCCTCCCTCCCTCTCTGTCCTCCTTCTCCTCCCTCCCTCCCCCTCCTCCCCCTCCCCCTCCTCCTCGACCGGTTAATTCGTCTATGTCTTCACTCTATTTTGTTGATTCATATATATTCATGCCGTTCGGGTTTTCTTCCTTCGTATTCATAGCTTTTTGGCCATGTTGGGCTCGATTCACTAGTCTTGAGTGAGAGGCTGAGGGAGGGGGAGGGGGGGAGGGAGGGAGGGGGAGGGGAGGGAGGAGGAGGGGAGAGGGAGGGAGAAGAAAGGAGGGGAGGGGGTGAGGGATGGAGAGGGAGGGGGGGTGGAGGCAGGGGGGGTGAGGACGGAGGAGGGGGAGGGGGTGAGGACGGAGGAGAAGGGATGGATGGAGGGAGGGAGGGAGGAGGAAGAAGGGGGAGGGGGTGAGGACGGAAGGAGGGGGAGGGAGGGAGGAAGAAGGATGGGAATGGATGGAGGGAAAGCGGGGTGGGGGAGGGAGACAGGGATGGATGGGGAGGAGGAAGGGGGGGTGGATGGAGGGGGAGGGGAATGGATGGATGGAGATGGAAGGAAGAGAAAATGGAGGGTTGTGAAGGAGATGAAACGAAGAGGAAGAGTGGAAGAGAGTACTGGAGGGGGAGGGAGAGGGGGATAGACGGGAAGAGAGAGAAAGAGGGAAGGATGGAGGGGGAAGAGAAGGATGTAGATGGTAGAGAAGAAAATGGGGAAGGGAAGGGAAGGAAAGGGAAGGGAAAGGGAAGGGAGGGAAGGGAAGGGAAGGGAGGAAGGGAAAGGAAGGGAAAGGGAGGGAAGGGAAAGGGAGGGAAAGGGAGGGAAAGGGGGAAAGGGAGGGAAGGGAGGGTAAAAGCGGCGAGAGAAAGAAGGAAGTTTGAGAAAATCGGATTATTCTTTATAGCATTTCGAAAAATAGTTTTCCGCTCGAGTTACACAGCTATAACAAGAAATAATGATCATAACTCTCTTGAACAATCTATCTTCGGGTCAACCATCACTACACATACACATACAAACATACATAAACACACACACACACACACGCGCACAACGCACACGCACACGCACACGCAACACGCACACGCACACACACACCACACACACACACACACAACCCCACCTCCACACACACACTTACACACTTACACCCCCCCCCAACCTTGCAACACCCAACCTCAACCCCCTACCCCTACCCACCCATCCTACCCCCAACCCCATACCCACTCCTACCACCCACCAACCCCTCATTATCCCCCCCCACCCCACACAGTCCCGCATCCTCAACCCATTCAAAGAAAAAAAAAAAAAGTTTCAACTTGAGTTATCGTTCTCATGGAAACAGCGGGTGATCACACGGCGCTCGCTTCGCCATTCCTCACACCTAAACACAAGCAAGCACACGAGACGCACTCGAGGGAACCACTTTGCTTGCGGGAGACAATTTCCCCGTATTTAATTTTCCGGTTTTTATTCATTTTTTATCTTTTTTATTTATTATTATTTTTTTTTTGGGGGGGGGATGGGGGTTCTGTTTGATTTTGGTCAATGTGGTTTTACTTTCTTTTTAATCTTTCTATTTTCTGCTTATTCATCTTCCTCTTCTTCTCCTTCCACTTCCTTCTAATTCTCCTTCGTCTTCAAATTTCTTATCATCGAATTATTCATCATTATTCTCTCTCTCTCTCTCTCTCTCTCTCTCTCTCTCTCTTTCTCGATGGATTCACTAATGGAGAATTGAAAGGGCAGATAAATATAGACGAGAAGGGAAGGAAAAAAGATAAGGGAAGGAAGAGAGGAATAATAAATATGAGAATGAGAGTAGTACAGAGGAGATGAAATGATATAAGAAGAAATGATAGAAGAAAGATACATGTGCAGGAGAGAAGCGGGAAAATAAAAGGAGTAATAAAGAGGCAAAACGAATGGGGGGAATGGATACATAATAAGGGAGAAAATAAAGAGAAGAAGGAAACCCAAATGAAAGGTGAAAAAAAGAAAGAGGAAAAAAATACATTATTCTCACCTCTCTTCCTCGTTCTCTCCCCTTTCCCGTCCTCTCTTTCTCCTACCTATCCTACCTACCCAGCTCTCCACCTCCTCCCCTCCTCCTCCTCCCTTTCCCCCCCCCTCCCTCTCCCTCCCTCTCCTCTCCCCTCTCTCCTCCTCTCCCTCCTCCCTCCTCCCTCCCCTCTCCTCTCCCTCTCTCTCCCTCTCCCTCTCCTCCTCCACCCCCCTCTCACCTCACCCCCTCCCCTCCCTCTCCCCTCCCCTCCCCTCCCCCTCCCCCTCTTCCCTCCTCCCCAGCCTCCACAAGCGAGCAAGAAAATCTCACGGAGGGAAACATTCTTGCAAGAATATCAAAACCAGACGATGAAGAATGTTAAGAGCACGGGACGCCCTGTATGGAGCCGCCCGCACGAGGAGCCGCCGCATAAGGGAGCAGGGAGAAATGGGGAAGAAGTGGATAAAGGAGGATAGGAGGGTGGAGAGGAGAGGAGAGAGCAAGGAGGGAGGAGGGGATAGGAGGAGGATTGGAGGGGGGAGGGAGGGAGGGAGGGGAGGGGAGAGGAGAGATGGAGAGAGGAGAGAGAGGAGAGAGAGAGAGAGAGAGAGAGAGAGGAGAGAGAGAGAGAGAGAGAGAGAGAGAGGAGAGGAGAGAGAGAGAGAGAGAGAGAGAGAGAGAGAGAGAAGAGAGAGAGAGAGAGAGAAGGAGAGAGAGAGAGAGAGAGAGAGAAGAGAGAGAGACGAGAGAGAGATGAGAGAGAGAGAGAGATGAGAGAGAGAGAGAGAGGAGGAGAGAGGAAGAGAGGAGAGAGAGAGAGAGAAGAGAGAGAGAGAGAGAGAGAGAGAGAGAGAGAGAGAGAAGAAGAGGAAGAGAGAGAGAGAGAGAGAGAGAAGAGAGAAGAAAGAAAAAGAGAAAAGAAGAAAAAAGAAAAAGAGAGAGAGAGAGAAAGAAAGAAAGGATAATGAATAAACGGAATGGCATGCATGGCAAATACGCAAGAGCCAAAGAAGCGAAGGGGAATAAGCAGTAAAGACAGGATAACTTGTGTGAAATGAGAATCTGAAGACGAAACAAAGGAAAATAAATGTGGAGATGAAGAATGCAGAGAATCGATTTAAAGAAACATTTAAGAAACAGGGGAGTTAAGACGAGACCGATAACGAGAGGGAAGAGGTGGAAAAAATAAGAGGAGAAAAGGCGGAATAAAGACAGGAAGAGGAAAAGATAAGAAAGAATTAAGAGAGAAACGCCAAAGAGGCAAGAACTGGTAGAGATATGATAAAGGGAGTGTTTAAGAGAAGGGGGTTATATGTGGGTGTGAGAGATAACAGAGTTGAGTGAAAAGGGGAGGGGAGATAGATGAAGAAGAGAAGACAGGAATAAGAGAAGGGGAGAGAAGAGGGCATGAAAAGAAGAGGAAAAAAGGTGAAAGTAAGAGAAGAGGAGAGGAAGACAGATGAGAAGGTATGAAAGGAAGTGAAAGACAGGCAAGAGAAGAGAAAAGGAGAGAGGAGAGCATGGGAGGAAGAGGAAGATAGGAGAGAGTAAGAGAAGAGAAGGAGAGGAAGAGAAACGAGAGGGTATGAAGGCAGGAGGAAGACAGGTAAGGAGAAGAGAAAGAAAAGAAAGAGAAGTAAGAGGGAAATGGTGGAGGATAAGAGAAGAGAAAGAAGAGATGAGGGCATAAAAAAGGCGTAGATCAGAAGAAATTAAGGAAAGGAAGAGATAAAAAGAGTAAAAAAAAAGAAATGAGGA